CGGACTCGATGACCAATTAGTGCTTACTGAACCGTAGCACTATGCAAATGTCATGTGGCGTGTTCCCGGCCGACCAATTAGCCATCACCAGCCGTAACGTTATTCAAATCTGGGATTCCCAAACCATAGTCTTATGCAAATCATGCCGTGTGGCGTAATTGTCTGCTGACCAATCAGTGGCTGTACTTTCAAAAAGCCAACGGCCACTTTCAACCATCTGTCGATGACCGTTAGGACTAAAAAAACTTCGCTAGGTCTTACTTTCAGGGGGAGGTCTTATATTTCGCAATTCAGCAAAATCTGTGCTAGGTCTTATTTTCGGGGAAACACGGTATTAACCATCGCGCCACAAGTTTCGCCGGAAAAAGTTTTAGTCTAAAATCGTTCTGTTTTCCCCTATCTGAAGGGTTTTAGGATAGGACAACAGAAGCTAAAGAAATAAAGCAGATTGGTGCTAGGTACACTGTATATTACAGGGCAAGCAAGAGTTCAGTGGGAGCCGAAATGTAGATTTTGCAAAATGCATTGGAGCCGCAGTTCTGTACTTTATTCTGTACCGCAATTTTATTATATAATATAAATATAATATAAAACAAATATTGAATTTTTTAATAAACATACGAAGGCTATTTTTTAAATAAGGTCCGTTTGTGAATGAGAGTGAGAATGACGCGCGATTGCAGCAGTGTGCATGACCATCTGCTTTCAGTATGCTTTGCGCGTGTTTAGATGCTATTTTCAGCCGTATCATCTGTCTGTGTGTGAACTGTAGAAATTTATAATGTTTAAGTTAAGAAAATTGAATCGCCCGCCGACTGTAAGATACGATCTGTTATTCGATTTCAGCACGAAAGATCATGGTACACAGTCTTTTGGAACAGGAAAAAGACTTTGTTAGTGAATTTTATGCCAAGAGGCACAACAATCAATTCTGATGCTTATTGTGACCTTGAGAAAACTCCGCCTTGCCATACAAGACAAGCGGCGTGGCCTAATGTCTTTCGGCAGAAGGCGGCAGATTTCTTTGAAGTCGAAATTAAGACGATCCTCTTGTGACGCAAACCGGGGGACCTCTGACCTCCCTGGTGGTTCACTTATTTGTCAGGATAACAAGTCAGGCGAGTGGAGGGAGAGTTTCTTGGGGTCGACGATAAGGTGAAGGACATAAACGAGTAAAGGAGTCTACCATTTTAACAAGTTAAAATAAGAATTTATTGAAATAAACAAAATCGGCAAAAAGACTACACAAATTTCTTTCTAAACCGCCTAACAGCTCGAGAGAGAGTTTACACACTTTTTCATACCTCTTTGTATGGTTTCTAGACGAGTAAGTCCATGTAGGCACATAAATGTCCAAGGAAAGGGGTTTTTAATCCAAAATGAGCACAAATATAAAAAGTTCGCGACTCTGGCGATGATCGGATATCAAAGTTCGTAGATCGGAATTTCGGCGGGTTCGAAGAATCGACGCGATGTCGTCGGTCCGGCTTTCGTTAAGACACTCCCCCGAGAGGGGGTAAGAACTGTCTTTTATAGCTTTTTGCGGGGAATTTCCACTACGTGATCGGTCGTTCATGAGCTAAAGGTTACAGGTGTTCCAGGGACCTAAAACAAGTGACGAAAGTTGGATGCTAACTATAAACTTTTGTGCAAGACGAGCTGCAAGTTATGTAGAGAACAAGTTGATAGTTATGACAGGAAGGTTTACACATTCCCGGCTAAGATCGATTTTTTTTTCTTCTAATTCGTTACATAAACGAATCCGGAATTTAGTTAATAAATTCCGGATCTCACACTCTTTTACCTCTCTACGGTGGACATTCTGCACCATGTAAACGCAGAAGATGATTTATTTATCAAATTCCGAACACAAGAAAATAATTGAAGCAGAATTGAAAACAAAAGAAAAAATTAATTAAAAAAATAAAATTGGTTCTTTTTAATTCAAATTTTTACGTAATTCGAACATTGTTGACGCGTCTTTTAACGTTTGTTCGAAATTCGTCACGCATAATAATAAAAAGCAGAAATAAACACTTTCAGCAAGAGCCGCATGTAACTCAAAAAAAGCCTCATTTGCCCATGTCTGGTATATTACATCCTAATAGGATTTTGCTTTTCTAAACCTTCATGCCATTGGGCCATTGGCACTCTCCATGTCAGATGTAAATTAATACCTCTGATAAAGCCTAAAAATCCTAAGACATTTTAGTTTTTAAAAACAATGAAATATGAATTGTCTGATTATTATTTTACGATAATAGTACAGTGATCTGCGTCATAGAATCGTTCGTTTTTTTTAATCCAAGCACCAGCTCGGAGTTTTCTCAATTTAGGGTAATCTAGGGTAAAATGAAGGCGCCATCAAGGTATTTCTATCAGAAGCAGGCGGCAGCACTGGTTATGAAAAGTCTTTCTTTTGTCAGTAAGTATGCCGAGATTGAGCATTCCCCATCAATTAATACGAGCGGAAACTGTCTTAACTCTACAGTACTCTAATCTGCACTTGGAGACAACATTGTTTATAAAGTATTTCCGTTAAGGCCGGATGGCCGAGCGGTCAAGGTGGCAGCCTACTGCCCTGGAGGGCCCGGGATCGAATCCAAACGGGTCAAGGAATCCCTAGGAATTTTTCGGGGGTGGTCCGTTCGGATATGTCGGGCCCTGTCCCTCACCACCCGGCCGCCCCATTGTGGGCCTGGCGAACCCATAATGGGCTTGCATAAAGAAGCCCTCTTAGTGCCCACAGGACGGAAAGAGTTTTAAAAAAACCATCTGTGACTACAGGCTCTGGTAGTAATGGTAATTCTTGATTTCACAATGCAACTGAATTCTTGCTGATGTCTTCTGTAAGTTTATTCAGGTTTGAACTAACTCATTTGCAATTGAGTATTCCAGTCGGATGATTTCGAGCATACTATGCAGTGCACGCACAACGCATGTGACATGCTTCGTGTTCGAGGGAAGAGATTTAAAAAAAATACCTAATGACTGTTCATCACATAAATACACAATTTTCATGACTAATTTGCAGAACCAATAAATAAAATAGTCAAAATTCTCAGAAAAATATTAGACTAATCTTTAATTTTTTAAAAAACTCTTTCCACCCTGTGGGCATTAAGACAGCCTCTTTTAGCAAGCCCATTATGGATTTGGCCAGGCCCACAATGGGGCGGCCGGGTGGTGAAGGACGGGGCCCGATATATCCGGACGGACCACCACCCGAAAAATTCCTGGGGATTTTCGACCCGTTTGGTCTCGGATCCCGGGTCTCCAGAGTGGTAAGCTGCCATCTTGACTGCTCGGCCATCCGGCCGTCTGTATTAGGTATTTCCTGCAGGTGCGCAGCTTTCTGCTTTCAAGTGTCTTGGCGGACGCACGTTCAATTCGCTTCAAAGATAGCGGCCCGGTTTGGGGTCTAATAGTTATATGTCGTTGGTCCCGATACATCAAAAGCAACAAAAGTACTGTATATGGAAGAAAGGCACTCTTTGTGGTCGCAGGGCAGAAATAATTAAAAGTGAAAAAAAAATTATCTTAGAGAAAGTCATGCTTTCTTTCATGCACTCTTAATATAATGAGAGAATTTTTATCTACAGAATTTTTTATGAATTTAAATTTTATTTATATTTATTGTTGAAAAAAATTATCAATTATTTACGAATTAATAATTCCATTAAAAGTTTTACAATATAAGAAGTAAAGATGGCGCTTTAGTAATTTACCCTTCATTGGATTCACGTGAAAACGAACAAGTTTTGAATCAGTGCGGATTTAAATTTCTCTCGTATATTTTTTACAGCTGTTTCCAAAATTTCCGTGGTTCGACAATTGAGTAAGAATTTGTTTTATGTAATTTGCGGCATTTTGTAATTGAAAATAATAATAACGAAGAATTTAAAATGATGATGAATATTTTATCCAGTTCCTATAATAATATAAATGGGCATGTTTTCTCTGGCTGCTTAGCTTCTTAATATGTTGTCTTTCAATGAATAAATTATTAATAATATATCATCATTAAAAGTATAACAAATTATAAAATTCTTCGCCTCATCTTGCTATTAATTAGAGCTACTTAGATTTTTAATTTTACGTGATAATTAACCAAAAAAGTGTTTACGTTTTCTCTGATAATTCTGTAATTCTATTAGTAGTTTAATAAGAACGTAATTGTTTAATATTATAAGAATATAAAAGTGATTTTGAAACTGATGAATCATGCAAAGAAGCTGGTAGAAGAAAATGAGCTCATGAGTTGTTACAACTATTTGGTTGATGCACAAATTCATGTTGCATCAATTTTCGCTTTTGTGGAATTTAGTGTTGAGGCATTGAAGTATTTCATTTCATAGTGTCATGTTCTATTACACATACTGCTGTTAGATTTTTTAGGCTACTTGTTCATTTTTTACAAGACACAAAGGATGGAATATTACATTGAAAAGAAAGAACATTTCCACACCTGCTTCTGTATGAGTTTACAAAGGTGCCAATACTATTGATGCTGATAGAAACATTTGAACTGTGCATAGATATTTCTAGCAACAGAATTTTTGGCCTCAAGACATTTGCAACAGTTGTCAAGTGAACTTTGATGAATACACTACTCCATGAGAATCACCATCAAACAACACAAGAATTAGCCACTGAGATGGAATGTGATCAGGCAACAATCGATAACTGCAGTATATGGGTAAAGTCTAAGAGACACTGTCATTGAGATCAGAAATTCCTTCTCTGAAGTGGGAAAATCATTTCTGGGCTATCCACTGTGTTGTAAAATTTTCCCCACACACAGCAAATGTTTCTGGCAATATTGGTAATGGTGGTAGTTTTGTTGAACTAATAAAGTAGGTGTCAGAAATGTTCTTTCTTTTCAACATTTTTTGTGACCTATTAAGAAAAAACTGGTAACTTTATGAATATAACATGTACAGTATACTACATACAATAGGAACATGACATTCTGAAATGATATTGATATATTTTGATGCATCAACACTGACAATTTCTTTGAGAAAGAAAGGAGATATGAAGTGGCATCAACCTAATAACACAGAAAGTGGAAAAACGATAGAAACGATATAATTAAGAAATATAAGAAACAAATTTTAATTCTAAAATTTGTATTTTATAGTAGAAATAACTTTTAAATAATTAATTTAGAAATTATGAAATAATATATACAATCAGACAGATGTATGTGTTTTGATCAGCTGTGCATGTTTAAAGAAATTAGAGGAATAAATTTGGTTGATAATGTATGTAGGGAATTTGGCATTAGAAAATTACTGTAACTATCTCAAGAAATAATAATCTTTTGATAAAATGTTATAAACTGATCGGTTGGCAGAATGTTGTAATAATATAAATTATAATAAAATTAAGATAATAGCAATGTCAGATACAGTTACTATATATTTTATTAGTGGAAAAACTATATCTCATGAAAAATATTTAGATTACTTCATCATAACATTATTTTTTAACTAGCAGAGAAATTTTATTCTTATTGCATAGTGTTTAAAGAAATTTTTAATCAAAAATTTTTATTGAAAAGAAATTCTTTACAAAAATTTCTAGTATACATTCTTCCTTTCCTGTCTCTCCATCTGGAAAAGATAGAAGTTGGTAAAAAAATAGTATTTAATCAAGCAAAGACCAAGTAATAGTAAAATTAGAAGAAAGAGAGAAACATAAAATACTATTGATGTATCGTAATAAGTAACATTTAATCCTCTAGCATGTGTAGGACCTTTTGCTAGAATGATGAATTTTTCTGAATGTAGAACATAAACATCAAAATCCAGATGTAATATTTTGAAATTTTGAAAGATTGTAATTTATTTTGTTTTAGAAATGGCAAACTAAGATAGGAATTTCCTGAAAAATATTTCTTTAATGATTAATTTTAAAATCCAAACAAAAACATCTGAGATATAAAAAAATTGCTCCAAGTAAAAAATTATGACAATTTAGACAACAGTCAAAATTTTTCTTAGGAGTTTTTCTTTGGTAAAAATAAGCTTGGTGCTTGGATGAGGTACTTACAAGATTTTTACCTGTATTATTTCTTTCTACATTTTACTTCAAAGTGCTAAGCTTATTTTTACCAAAGAAAAATGCCTAAGAAAAATTTTGATTATTGTCTAAATTGTCATAAGTTTTTACTTAATGCAATTTTTTTACATCTCAGATGTTTTGTTTGGATATCAATTGTTTTTCATTTAATAATTATATTATTACATCAAGACACATTACGTCGATGGTCGCCGAGCACCAGCAGAACATGTCACTGGCCAACACACTGCCAACTGATGCTTTTGATATACCATTTAGAAAAATCATTATAAAAGTTTTAATTCACATGAATTTGAGCTTTTGTTATTCTGAGTAATAATCTGAATAAAATTCATTTGTTTCAATGTAATTTTATCCTTATAAACATAAAATTAAGCCATAAAACTGAATTAGTTCTGTGGGAAATCCCATTAACTTTGATCTATTGACCCAGAAGTTTCGCTAGCATCTCATTGATCAAGAGAAAGACTTAAATTTGAAATTTCTAGACATAGTAGTTTTTTCTCTACAACCATCTGCAGTGCCAGATGAATAAAAAGAAAATGCAGCTTTTTTGGCGAGTTTTGTGCTTTTCAATTGCTTATATTTTGTCAGCCACTTTACAGAAAATTGTGAAATTTTGCCCACTACCTAAGAAAGCAATTACCTTTAGAACAAGATATTTGAAATTTAGACATTTGGTGGAGAAATCGGCAACTCTGATTTCTATATATATAGTCTAGTCGGTCAGTGACTTTTCTAATTGGTGGGAAATCACTGCTATGACTCTCTATATTTCAGCATTAACGCACAAGAAATTTATTATTGATTCTGTAAAATGAATTTATATTCAAATTTTATATCAAGTTTTGAAATTCAAATTTCAAATTTTATTCAGGCATTTTAAATTTATGATGAAGCTTGCCCAAATTCAAAAATTTAAAAATAAATTATTTGGTTACTACTACTATTAGGATAAATATTTATTTAACCCTTCATTGGATTCACGTGAAAACGAACAAGTTTTGAATCAGTGCGGATTTAAATTTCTCTCGTATATTTTTTACAGCTGTTTCCAAAATTTCCGTGGTTCGACAATTGAGTAAGAATTTGTTTTATGTAATTTGCGGCATTTTGTAATTGAAAATAANATACCTAATAGACTAATTCAAAAATGGAAAAATCTGATAAATCTGTGTTTTGTGATCCTAAAGATGATGATCCTGAAAATGGAATATGTGAAATTGAAAGCTTATGCTTAAACTGTGGAAAAAATGTAAGAATTTTATGAAAGACTATTAATATACAGGGTATCTCCTTGAATGTCCCTTGTTTTGTAGAATAATTTTGGGAAAAGAAACATGTTTATAGTACTATAGATAATAGTAATAAAATGCATTTGAAAAAGCTAGTTATTACATTAAATCAGTACATTATCACATGCTCCTGACATGGCAAGTATATCTGGTTTGCACTTGATTTTGGCCTATGTCTAACCCAGCATGTTAGGAGTCATGCTGTTAATGGCATTTATGATTCTTGTACACAGGGTTCTCGTGTCTGGTACTTTTGTAATGTACACATGCCCACAAAGAAAAATGTTTAAAGAGATGATGATGTCAGGTGATCAGGTGGACCAAGCAATCTAGATTATGTAGTGGAGGTCTGGATCACCACTGTATGCCAGCAGTGGTCCTTTTAAAGAGTTACGTGTATGCACAAGAAACTTGTGCATATGTATTGGCCAACATTTTTCAACACTTCTGAACAAATTGGATTTTACAAAACAGTTTAAAACTAGGAATATTTAAAGGGAAAACTGTGTACTTAGTACTTAGTAGTATTTTTGTAATTTAATTAAATCAAAATGACATTCATATTATTCAATTTGTTAAAATAAATATTTAAATCATTTAGGGTATAACAAGAATTTTGCCTACAAAAATTCCATTTTTTAAAGAAGTGATAGTTATGTCATTTACATGTGAAATGTGCGGATGGCAAAACAATGAAATTCAATCTGCTGGTCAGATTCAAGAGAAAGGTGTTCATTATAATGTAACTGTGAAAACACCAAAGGTAACTTCAATTTATGATATTTAGATAGAATTAAGATTAAAATTTTAAATACTGTTTTTAAATTATAGATTGTAGTAAATTATTGAATTCATGTGTTTCACTGGAACGCAGTGAAATTAATCACTGATTTTGTTACACTGCTCAATATTTTCTGTATAAGATCTATTACATAATGTACAGTATACTATTGAAAAGAATTATCTTCTAATAAATAATACTTTAGAACAATAGTGCCCAAACTATGGACCCAGGCGAAATCTTAGTGACATATTTGAGTCACTACTTATAAATGATAGAAATAGGCTTACTTTTTGGATATATGGAATACACAGAATATTTGTTGTCCTTATATTAATGACTTATGTACAGTTTGGCTTGCGAGGTGCCACTGATTTAGAACATTTTATATGTATCTTATATGTTTAATTTACAATTGAATAATATTGCATGTAAAATTACAGAAAGCTAATCTATTTCTTTTTTGGAAAGAATTCAACTTAAAATCACAGATTTGGTATTTTACTCAAGAAAAAAGTCTCATTCAATTATATTTTGTACATTTATTTTTCAAAATTTACAGAATATTTGAACTATTATTTTAATTTATTTAATGGCATAATTATATGATGCAAGAAACATTTTTAATTACCCAAATTCAGTAGATAATAACCAAAAGGTCACAAACTAATACTTATTTGCATTTTTATAATACTGTCAAATATATTTAAATATTATACATTAAATCAAAGGATTCCATTATAAGGATTATTTTTCAAATAGTTTGATATGAAATTATAATGATGTAATGTTTAAGTATTTAAACTTTATAAAGAATAACTTTCAAAATTGAAATTATGAAGTGAAAGAAAAAAGAGTATAATGAAAAGCTCTTTTATATATCACTAATACTTAATTATTTTATTATTTATTTACTTATTTTTATTATTTTTAATGTGATGTTTTAATAATGTATTATTTATACTGCAATTATTAGTTGTTAAATGCTTTTCCAACATTTATGTTTTTAACTATGAGAGATATTTTCTCTTTTATTATCCTACCATATTATTGGATTGTTCGGAAAGTAATTTCGTTTATTTTACCACTAGACGGATTAGTCATATTTTTCTGCTATTTTCATTCTAAACCGTATTATCATTATATATTTTGACAGCTAGCATTTTAAGGCTTATTTGTAAAAAATTTTGTTTGATTTTGTACAATTGTTTATTTTTTGTGTCCCATCAAATATAGAAGATTGAAAGCAGCATTTTCAGCATATTGTAGACCTTTGCGAGCACCGAAATACACCAGGTCTTAAAGTAGGGTAAGAGAAAGCAAATGAGGACTTCACACACAACACACCTCAATATAAAAACACTCGATTTTATGTCAGATTATGCTCGCGTACACGTGGTCGTAGTTCCGTTGTTCACAAGTACAGATAATAAAAAATTTACAATCTATTACACAGTTGCTAACAATTGACATTCCTTCATTTACACTTCAAATTCACGTCTCTCGTATCTTCAATGCTTGATGGAATTTGATTTCTTTCTTCTTCCAATACGATTAATCTTGACAGTCTATTGTTAGCACGTGGTGACCCCTTCCTTCCTCGTCCTTTGTCTTCTTCTGCTTTCTCTTGTGGAGGACAGTTCACGAAGGTTCCAAAGAAAAAAAAAGGTAAAAAGGTTGTGGGATCACTCTTTTTATATCCTCCTAAGTTCAATTCTTCTGCCCCCTTATGACGCGGCCACCTCAACAACCAATCAGAAGCCCACCGACCACTGTCAAAAGGTGGCGCACGACCGGAAGGGAAACTGACAATGACACGTTACAAAAATGGTAAAACCCGACAAATAATAACATATATCAACAATTAAAAAAAAATATAATATAAAACGAGTGCCTAACACTACAATATTTTGCTCTTTTATTACCGAAAAGGTAAGAATGCTGTTCAAGCGAGAAAAAAATTGCATGATGTGTATGGAGAAGATGTATTCACAGAATGGCAGTGCCAAAACTGGTTTACAAAATTTCGTTCTGGCAAATTAAATATCGAAGATGCACCACGTTCTGGATCCCCAGTTGAAGCCAATGAAAACAAAATAAAGGTACTGATTGAAGCAAACTGCCGAATAAGAACACATGAAATCACTAAGAGATTAAATTTGTCAAATTGAACTGTTTATGATTACTTGAAACAAATTGGTTTAATTTCAAAGCTTGATATATGGGTTCCACATGTTATTAAAGAGAGATGCTCTCTTTGGTGGGATTTTAAGGAAATTTTTTTTTGGAGCTTTTACCAGACAATTTAACAATTGATTTGAAAGTGTACTGCCATCAAGTAAACAAATTGGGTAATATCATCAAACAGAAAAGGTGGCCAGAATTGATCAACAAAACACGTGAAGTTTTTACCACAATAATGTCAAATTTCACACAAGTTTGGTAACTCGTCAGAAACTGTTATAACTTAGATGGGACATGCTATCACACCAGTCATATTTGCCAGATTGAGCACACTCAGATTATTACTTGTTCCAGTCTATACAATTTTTTTTTTAACTGTAAGACATTTACTTGAAATGACAATGTCAAAAATCACTTGGATCAGTTTTTTGTACGCAACAATCAAAACTTTTATGAATGTGAAATCATGCTACTACCAGAAATGATGACAACAGTTATTTGACCAAAATGGTCAATATATAATTCAATTTAAAATATTTATTTATTATAAAAATATTGTGTATTTTTTCCATGGAAAAAAAACAAGCTTACTTTCCAAACAGCCCAATAGATGTATGTATGAGTTTTTAAGGTTCAAGCAAGCAATTATTTATTGTGACATTGAAACAATGCTGGGTAGCAATTTTCAATCATATTTTTAATTAATTTTAAAAATTCGCAGAAGAATTCTTCTGTGAATTTTTTAATTTAATTAATAAAGCCCCAAGCCCGAGATATCTCGGGCAAGTTACATAGCGTTACATAAAACTCAGGCGTTTGGACCCCCNTGAAACATAAAGCCCCAAGCCCGAGATATCTCGGGCTTGGGGCTTTATGTTTCAGCTAATATAGTTTTAATTTTAATTCATTTAATTTAAAATATATGCTCTCCACCTCAAATTAGTAGTGGCTTGTACATCATGTTTTTCCTTTAACAATAGAGTTGTGCCAGTTGTTTGTCTAACAATTTTCAGGGGGAAATTTTTGAATTGAAATAACATAACTTCCGGTTTGCATCAGAAGTTAGTATATAGTTAATTGGGGCCTCCTGTCCATAAATTGTCTCATCTTTTATCTATCTAACTCTGATCTTATGATTAAGGAAAGACAGGCGGATGGATGGATGACGGTATGAATTTATTGGTCTACAATTTTTCAAATTTCAGCCCAAAAATTAAATTCCATATAGTTTAAAATTAGTTTAGTTATAGTTTAGTTTAGTTTCCATTGTGAATTATTTGTTGGACCTCATATTGAGGGAAACTTGCTTGTCAATGAAAAGAATAATTCCTAAATGATTTAATTATTATCTCAATAACCAGTTGGTATAGATATGATGAGGCTTATCAAACTACAGTGGAGTCAAGTAATTGAGATCATATTGAGAAAACACTTTTATTATTGGAATGCATTTCAGTCCTCAGTGGACTCTCCTCAACCACAACTTCATGAATATACCTACATGAATATTAAACATACCTACAATAGTTGAAAAAAACCCATATTTAGCAATGGAAACATTTAGCTTTATTTTTACATAAAAAATTTTTACAAATGGAAAAACAAACCTGCAGTATTTAACATAAGAGCCGCCGCAAACTACAGTGAGAGCTAGCATACGCTCGGCCAAGCCCTGCCTTTTTTCCCATGAGGCTATGAGCCATTTTTGCTAGATAAGCTACACAGGCAAGAAGCAGCCACAAACTACACTACATTTGCTCGCATAACGTAATCCACATGACATGGATTGGCTATAGAACAAGATTTTATTATAACCTATACTTGTAATCAGTCAGTTTTCATTCTGAACTTTCTGAGACAGCATGGGAAAAACATGTTTACAAGTTAAGCCTAATTAGGCTTAACTAGCTGAAAACTATTTATACTGTATATTACTATTTACATACAATGTTTATACTATTTTCTTTTCAATACTGAATGTATTAATCATGTAATTTACGTACATGAATAAAATTCTATTATTTCTTTTTTGACATGTGACATGTTCATGTAGTCATCCGTCTTCCCCACTCTCTCTTACTAGCGTAACTGCTCTAGCTGTTGAATTCTGTCAATAGCGAGCATACTCTTGTAATGCTGCGCTAGCAAAGGAAAAACTGCGTGGGCAAAAAGAAAGGGGCGGAGCCTTCGACGTCATCGGTTGTGCTAGCACATGTTTGCTAGCGTTTTGCTCTCGCAAAGCACTAGTTTGCAGTAGGTCTAATAGTAACAGCTTACATGGTTACAGCTTACATGGTTATACTATAACTGTTCATATTTGCATTAGTGATGTAATGAATATTCAGTTACTATTCGGTATTCGGCCTATTTTTCGCTATTCGGCCGAATACCGAATACCTAAAAAGAGGAGTAAGAAATAACAAAAACACAGTAAATTAATCATTTTGGCATTTAGATTTAATCTTACCGAGTTAATGTTGTTTATTTATATTTATTTATAACTTGTAGCATGCACAAAATAAAAAAAAATAATATTAGTCACATGTATTCACAATTTATAATTACAAAGATCAGCACATGTACACACCTTATTCATTCGAGAATCGTCGCACACATCTGAGGGTCTGACCCTGCCTATCTTTTTTANTTGTAGCATGCACAAAATAAAAAAAAATAATATTAGTCACATGTATTCACAATTTATAATTACAAAGATCAGCACATGTACACACCTTATTCATTCGAGAATCGTCGCACACATCTGAGGGTCTGACCCTGCCTATCTTTTTTAAGTGCTC